ATTTGTCTGAAATTTTGGGGGGGGGCTGTACCGGCCGTATCCAGCCACCGTGCGTGCCCGGACCTGCACCATGTACCGAGCATTGGCTTTCAGCCCGTCCAGCCGCACCGAGTTCTTCTGGCTGGTGACTGTGTTGGCGATGCCATCGCTCTGGCCTTGCTGTAGGGGAGACATGTGGGTGTCACCTCTGTGAAGCAATCCCCCCTTTGCTGGCTCCCACATCCCCCAGGCACTATATCTGCAGGGACCCCTTTTGCCTTGGTGCTGATGGCCAGCCAGAAGGGCTGAAGGAGGGAAAAGGCTGCTCTGCCTCCTGCTTTACCTTCTCCGAGTACTTGATCTCATAGTCAAGAATGATGCCGTTGGGTCTCTCCGGGGGAGTCCACGACAGCGTCATGCTGTTCCCGGTGCTGCTGTGCAGGTGCATCGTAGGCACGGCAGATGGGGCTAGGAAAGAGGGCAGGGGAGGAATGAGCCATCTGTGCCAGGCTCCCCCCTCCACCATCCCGCATCGGCGTAGCGGACTCTCTGCCTGGGACCTGTTTGGATAACCTCGGTGGACAGGCATGGAAAAGCTTTGACACTGGCCTCCCACAAGTCTCCATCTTGTGGGAGGTGTGATCTCAACATCTTGCAGCTAAGGTGATAAGGGACCAAGGGGAGCCTCGGAAATAGCACCGAGGTAACGCTTCACCCCACGCCTAGCTGCAAACTCATCTGGGGAAGGGCCCTGCCAGCCCAAACTGGGGCTCCTTCCCCTCCTCCACTTGCCAGGAGCTCCGCACTCCACCCCACTGATGAGACCCGTGAAATCAGATCAAAGTGCGGCGGCTGGAGATTACCAGCACGTTGGAGCCGGGCCAGAGCAGGAGGAAGGAGGGAATGGCAGAGCACTCGGCTGGCTGCAAAGGTTTGGGCTGGTGCTGAACCTTCCCAGGCCCACAGGGGAGAAATCTCATTTCCTTCCTCCTCCCGTCGCAGCAGGCACAACATCTCTGGGGTAGGTCTAGGAGATCCAGAGCTCTCCGGAGCATCTGCCAACCCTGCCCTTCTCCACTTGCACGCGTTCTGATCTCATCTCCTCCAGTGACACGCGTTAAACGGAGAGGAGAATTTACCCAGGGGATTAGATGCAGGCGCGGAGAGTCAGTAACGTGGCAGCATAAAGGACTGCAGCCTCCAAGGCTGTCAGCAAGAAATCCCCGCTCTGCTCTGCGGAGGAGAGCCAGCCCCTGCTCTCCGGCAGCTCCACTGACCTGCCTGGTTGGTGGTGATGTTGACAGAGGCGAAATGGGGAGGGTAAGGGCTCTTGTTGGAGACACCATTCACAGCCTGGATCTCGAAGGTGTACTGGGTGTGGGCCATCAGGTTGCTGATGTAGATGCGACGCTCGGTGAGGCCGAGCTGGCGCGGCACGAACTCCACGTTGTCGTCGCAGCGGGTGCACAGGCGCCGCTCCACGCTGCACTTCTTGCAGATGACGTTGTAGAGCAGGTCGTCCCGCCCGCCCGTGTCCTGCGGCTCACTCCACTCCAGCACCAGCGATGTCTCGTTCACGTTGGAGATGACGCTGCGGGGGGCAGAGGGGACGCCTGCGGGGGGAATGCGGGAATCAGGGATGGTGTGCCCCCATGCCCAGCTCACCTCCGGCGTGGGCACAGCACGCTCCCCCCCACTCCGGGCGCGGACCCCTGCTGCCTCCACACCTCCCCTCGTCTCCCCTCCTGGCCCAGGGCAGGACTCACTGGTGCAGGCGCTGTCTGCGGGGTCCGTGTCCGCCCGGAAAAAGCCGTTTCGACACGTGCAGACCGTTGCTGCTCCAGAGGTGGTCCGGCTGTTGGGAGGGCAGGGGGAGCAGGGACCTTCCCCCTGCTTAGATTTGAAGGTTCCCGGGCCACATGCTGGAGGAAGGGAAAACAGACCTGAGTTATAAAGTGCACCCAGAAAACATCCACTGTTCCTCCCAAGGCTGGGCAGACCCTTCCTTGCTCCCTGCCAAATCTCCGATCAGTGGCTTGAGGACCACAGGCCACCTACAAGCCTTCCCACCGCCGTCAGTCGTGTCAGGGACACAGTGTCCCTGGCCGGGCAGGGCGGGCAAGAGTGGGCTGCTGGCACAGGGCAGGAGCACTCACCAGCACAGGCACAGCTCTGCCCAGGAGACGCTGTGCTCCGGCAGCAGACCCGGGGCAGCCGGAGATGGGAAGAGCCAGTCACCAGCAGCTGTATGGGGATCAGGGCAGGCCCGGCGAGCAGAGCATGTCCCCAGTTTTGTTTCTTCACTGCACTTCCCAAGGGTTTTGCACGCATTGGCTCCCCCTTCCCCAGCTGGTTTCCACGCCCAGCACCCTCCATAGGGTCAGCGATCCATTCTCTGGGAAAATAAGGCTGGGAAGGAAAGGAGTCCTCAGCCCTGCCCGCAGCAGCCCCCGCAAGAGGCCTCTGCAGCCCCAAATGTGGCCACTCAGACCCAAACCCTCTGCCTCGGGCTCTTCAGCCACTTCTCAGCCCCGGGGCGGTGGCACCTCCTGAGGCCGGCTCAAGTGGAGCGCCGAGTGAGATTAAAACATTCCTGCAGCTCCTTGGCTAAAGAGCTGCTTCGGCATCGCTGCCACCTCCTACCCCCGCTTCCGATCAGGGTCCTTCAAGGAGCCACAAGTCCTGGGATCCGGACCGGTTGGCACCACGGGGCATTTAGTCGTAATGAGGGGCACGTGAAAGGATTAACGGCACTTGAGCCAAGGGGCAGAGTGGCCTCGGGAACCCGACCCACACCTCAAAATAGCCTGATTTATCACAGTGCTGCTCCAAGAAAGCGGGTCCCATGCTCTGCGTTCGCAGCTGGCCAAAGTGGCGAGAGATCCACCGGCACCAGCTCTGCTTTAGCATCACCCCGTTTGCCACAGCCGGGGCGGCGTCAGCACTGACAGCCCCAGAGGAGGGCACATCCTCCTCGCTCCGCTGGGGTTAGGGCAGCTGCCGAGGGCGCGTAACCCTCCTGGCAGCCCTGTCCCACCGCCCACGCCTGTCGCACATCACCCCGTAAACAGGAGAAGGCTTCCTGGTGCTTCACCAGGCTGCAGCAAGTGGAAGTTTCCTGCTATGAGGCATCTCCCGACACCCTCCGTGGAAGTTTTCTGGCTGGTTGCAGCCCCACGCGTTGGGTGTGGAGCGCTGCTGAGTCACACGCTGCCAGGCCGGCCCCACGGGGACCCGCATACAGCGCCGGGGTGCCGTCCTGGCCCCCCCACTTTCCCGCTCCATCATGGTGCTCCTGGGCAGGGGGACGCGTGAGCAGCCCCATCACGGGGGGAGGCACCCCACTGCCGAGGAGGGGACCTGCAGACTACGCGTTCTCCAGCCCCCCTGCCCGGATGGGTGGCAGGAGCTGCTTCCTGCTCCTAGGGCGCGAGCCTTCCGGCAAGGAGACTCCTCTTCAGTCAGAACAGGACCGACCACATGGCTCGACTTGCTCCAGCTCCTTGACCTGAGTTCATCCAGCCTCTGGGCCTTCCCTTTGGAAATGAAAGCTTAGCCCATCCCGACTGCGCAGGCTGGAGGGCAAAGGAGTGCGCCGACCTGCTCCTCTGCGAGCGATGGAAGCCCCCGGCCAGCAGGTCCAGGGATCCCGTCCCCCCAGCCCGGGCCACTCTCACCACCACGAAATGCAAAGACGTGGACAGCAAATGCCCAGAGGTAGCGAAGCAGCCTCGGCACAGGCAGGCCCACCCCAGCCGGAGTCCCGGGCGGTTCAGACTGGGTGGATGCAGATTCACACATAAGGAACCAGATTGCTGAGGAATGAGAGATGACTGAAACCTCTTGGACAGCAACACTCTGGGCTCAGAAAGCTGCCAAACATGCTTCGGTTATGGACAGGAGCCCAGATCCATCAGGGACAAAACCCCCTGAAATAACAGGCTTGTCGGGGGGGAGCGTGAAGCTGGAGCAACCAGAGCTCCTGTGAAGCTGACAGCCCAAGCGCGGCATGGCAGACAGGGACAGTGAGGTGCTCTGCAAAGGATGCAGGAGGGATGATGGCGCTTGGCCTCCTGCATGCTCAGTGCCAGCCGGTGCCCGGTGGGTTATGGGCACGGAGGGGACAGTGACCTCCCGTGCTCCTGGACATGGGAGAAAGGGACAGGCAGAGCCATCCTTGGCAGCTGCCTGCCATCCCACAGGAGTGCCCAGCGCAGGCACAAGGGATGAAGGTCATTTCTTTGCACCCTCATGCCACCCCAGCAGGAGGGGGACGAGCCACGTCCCAGCCCTGTTAAGCAGGGGGAAGAGCAGGAGAAGGACTGAGGTCCAGATGCACTCCAGCGTTTCAGTTTCCAACTCCGCTTAATAAATCAGAGCATAAAGACCTTGGTGGCAGCGTGACAGCTCTCAGCCGCCACATTTGAAGGCTGTAACGGAGCTGAAAGCTGATCCCAGGTCCCCGGTGGATAAGCCGCTGTGTCATCTCTTCTCTGCAAGAAACTGCCTGTACAACAACCACTGTCTTGGCCAGCACGCTGGGGAACAAGCCCGGGAGCTCCGGAGTGGGAACGTGACTCCATCCAGCCGGAGCCGGGGAGCCGGGCTCCCCTCTCCCTACCGAGAGGTTTGCATAAGCACTTTTCCTGCTAAAAATCCTCAAATAAAATAACAACCCTGAACCTCTGCACACAGATCACGTCCCCTGGTGCCAGGCTGCGGTCACCTCCGGGGAGAACATGACAGTCACTGACAGCCACAGGATAACAGGTCAGGGAACCGAAGCGGAGCTCCCCAGTCTGAAGAGGAGCCGCTGGTTTGATGGGAGGGAGACGCAGCCTGGCCTGACAGCGGGGATCGGCTGCAGAGGGGATTTATGTGGGGTGTGGGAGGGAAGGGGGCAGTAACACGGCCCTGGGGCTGCTGCAAAACTGCCCCTACACCCTCTACAGGGCATCACACACCCGGCACGGCATGGCACGGCACCCACCACCGGCCATCCGGCTGCTTCTGGCAGCCCCTCCGGGATTTTCATCAGTCGCCCACCTCCAGGGCCTGATCCTGCCTCGCAGAGCTGCAGCGCAGGGCTGGGGGAAGAGGAGGGCACTATTCCCAAATACAATCCCCACCCCGGTGAATAAAGTCCAAGGGAGGGAGCTGAAAAACACCAAAATAAAACCCTCCTGGCAGCAGCAGAGAGCAGTGACTCATCCCACAGGCAGCCTCCATTACTGCATGGGATGCGGGCAAGCAGCAACAAACCCCGCGTGCATCCCCAAAACTTCGGGGTCCCCTCCCTTGGAAAAGGGAGGGAGGGAGGGAGGGATAGCCCATGGCACATCGGGAAATACCAGCCCCAAACTACCCTGTTTCAGGTCTCAACTGCTTTCCCATCCACACGACACTATTCCAGCCTGGGCAGCATCCTTCCAGCTACTTCTCTCCCTGTAGGACTGAAGCAGAACGCCTCGCTTGAGCCTAGATAAATTAAACCGATCACATCCCTTTGTCCAGCAACCCTGTAATTTCTTTAAAGGCAGCAATCGAGTTTGCCTGGGACGATCTGTGCTTTATGAACCTGCACGGCTCGCTCCCTTCCCGCTTTCGTAAGTGGCTGCAGATGGATTAGAGCCGTGGAAGCAACAGCCTAGCTACAGCTGAGGCGGTAACTCTCTTTTTAAGTCTCTCTTAAAAGGCACTTGATTTTTTTTTTTTTTTTAAAATATCACCCTTTGGGTGGAAATATTTCACGCTACCGCTGTCCAAAAATGAATGGAGAAAATTTGAAGGGGAGAGAAGGGAAAGAAAAAACAGTAGCATCCAAAGAACAGGCGGGAAACCAATTTTTTTTTTTTTTTAAAGAAAAAAAAAATTTTCAATAAGCAAAGCTGCTTCTCGAGCCACAGCGGGTCACAGGCAGGACAGCAGGGGCAGATTTCCTCGACCGTGTTACAAGTAACCCATTGTGGAGCTGCCTGGCTGTAAACCGGCAGCTCTCCCCTGCCTGCGCTGCTGAGCTGCCTTTGATCTGGAAGCCCGGGCAATTAATAGCAGGCAGTTTCACTTCCTGGGTTTCATGCAGCAAGCCCGTGTTGCAATGCAAAGCTGCAAACAGTTGGCAAGTGCAATGCTTGCTTGGCATTTTTTTTTTTTTTTAATTCAGGATGATGTTTCCATTAGTCACTGATTGCAAGGGAAATTTATTTTTGCAAAAATTCAGATTTTGGCCCTGACCTGCTATCACCTACTGATTGTGCCCAAACATACAGCGCCTGGTGCCACCAGAAAAGGGACATCACAAAGGCTGAGAAATGGGTCCGAGGAGAGCGCGGCGTCACGCTGCATGCTGTCTCCCCAGATACTTTTATGGTTTGGGTGTCCATCGACCGCACCACACAGCCTCAGTCCCCCTCCCAAGTGGGGCGTAGGCTCTGGGGGCACTGTGGCCCCTCTCCAGGACCCCCCCATTGGTATCGAGGGCCACGCGAGGAAGGGGCTCGCTGCTAGCCCTGGTACAGAGGCCAGCCAGACCCCAAACCTGTCCGTCTTTGGGTGAAGCCAGCAACACAAGGGGTGCAAACCCTGGCAAATTCGGCGCGGAGAGCACATGCCCAGGAGCATTTTTGGGGAGGAGCCGCACAGCGAGCTGCTCTGCACCGGGAGCCCTGCACTGCTCGAAGGAAACTCCCACTGCCTGCCTGTGCAACGCGGGGAGCGCCTTGACACCAAACCCCCCGAACGGTTTGGGTGCTTGCAAACCAAAAGGAGCAGGGATGGGGGCTGCAGGACTTGAGGTGCGAGGGAGTGAAGGCAGCATACCCCTCCCTGCGGAGGCACGTGGGAGCCTTCGTCCCCCTCCCCGGCCAGCAGCTCCTCTTCCTCCAGGGAGAGCTGCCTCTGCAGCTCTGCATGGCGGGGAGCGTGTGGGAAGCGGCACAACCCCCACAAGGGCCGTGTGCTAATTAAATAAAGATAATGAGGCTGAGAATGAGATGCCAAATCAATGCTGTGGCAACTAAGGACTAGAGCACCAGATACCAGTCTGGCGTATCGCATTACAAAGCATGCCAAGGAAACTGCCTTCAGCCGGGCGGGATGAGCCCTCAGCTCCCGAGGGACCGGGATACAAGCTGCATTGTAACAGGTCTGAATGAGAGGTCTAATCCTGGCTCTGGATGGAGATAAAGAGGAGGAGGAGGAGATCTTCAAAGGCCACTGAAAGTCTGGGGAAAGGGGGAGATTTACAACAGGGCTTATCCCATCTAAGCAGTAACTGGGTATTGTTATTTATTAAAATGCCATCTGGCACTCCGGAGCGCTCCTTCCCTGTGCGGTGAAGCCTCGGTGGCTCCCGGGGGCGGGAGTGCCGAAACCCCAGCTCCGCAGGGCCACATCTGCACCTCTCCCCACATCGTGGGGACAGAGAACCTTCTCTGTAGTGCTGGGCTGCCGAAACGGGGTAAGGGAACATCCAGCCGAGAGTAGAAAAGGGAGCTGCGGCTCCGGCTTCTCCCAGCCCTTCTTCAGCTGTTTCCACTTAAAACACACGATCATATGGCGGAAAATCTGATCCTACAAGCGCAGCGCAACTTTCCCAGAGAAACGTGAGGACACAGCCACTTCTGCCCAGCAAGAGGGCAGGCTGCCGGATGGAGACGTGCCCGTGGCTCAGTGTGGCTTCCCCGTGCGCTGGGGAAGAAGCTGGCGCTTGCTGGGGGGAAATTAAAGGTGCTGGGAGAGCTGCCGTGCGAGTGTCTGCCTGGCTGGGGGGATGTGGAGAGGGGACCTCGTCCCGGGCTGCAGCAATGCCCTGAGCAGCCCTCTGTTCTGCCTCAGGATGTCCCAGTTTGGCACAGCCCAGATGCTGCCTAGAAACGGGGTCACCTTGTGCCCAAACCCTGCTGGGAAAGAGCAAACACCCCATACGATCTAAGATCTCCCAGCCCAAGCGAGAAGGAAACCAGCTCCCCAGGAGCGTGGACCCCAGCGTGCACTTTAAGCGTGGGCTCCTTGCCCAGTGATGGATGCCTGGCACCGGTGTCCGTCTGCCCCTGGAGGAGCCAGATTTGCTGCTCACAAGACTGATGCAGGGGGCCGGGGCCACAAGCAACCTGCCCCAAAGTCGGGGCTGTGCTGGCACCAACGGTGCTGGAGGCTCCGGTCCCCCAGCAGAGCCGCAGCCCCCTGGAAGCTGAGCTCTCCCCGACCAGCCGCAGCGGCACGGCCAACAGCTACACTGCTCCCAAAGCAAGCGGAGAGGCCGGCCTGGCCCGAGCCCCACGTCACGGGCCATCCCAAATCACATCGCCCCTGCCAAGACCAAAGGGCTGGCGCCAAGCATCCCGTCATCGGCGAGCAAGAGGCATCCAGTGCTGGGGGCCCAGCCAGCATCCCACTCCCTGTGCAACGCCTCCAGCCAAGGGGAGCGGCAACCCTTCTGCCCTAAACCCCAGCCACCCCAGGGAAGGGTCCTGAGTGCCAGAGACGGCTCCCAAGGACAAAATCACCCCAAGGGAGAACAATCCAGTCAGATTTTTCCGTATCAACACACCCAATCTGGGGTGAAACAGCAACACCAAAGCTGTTGTGGGAGAGCACGGCAACTGCAGAACCCGTGCAGGGCTATCCTGCTGCCCAGTGTGGCTCTCCATCCCCAATATCTCCGTGTGCAGGAAAAAATCCCTCCCCTCTGAGCAAGGACAGGGAGCTTCGGCTCCCCTGCCTTCGTGCTGCTCCCCACCCTCCCCACTGCAAGCCCTCAGCACTGGTAGGGGGAGTGTGCATCCACATGCATCCGCATGGCTTCTCCCGCAGCCAGCGCAGCGGCACCCCGCTCACCACTGGGGTTTTCGAGTGCCTCCGCACAAGCAGCATGAAATCAGGCTTGCCAGGAACAACCACTCACCCCAGCCACAAGCACCGCAGGAGGGAGAGAGGGGAGACGCTGGACATGGCAGCAGGGGCGAGAGGGAGGTTTTGGTAATGCTCAGGGGCCTAAACGTGCTGGATCCCTGCTGAGGACCATGCCTTGAGCCATGGCTCCTGGTGAGGAGATGCATCCCGCAGAGGATAGCACCAGCGGATGCTAACCAGCGTGTCACAGCAGGCACCGCGCCAGTCCGGACCACGAAGGCTTTAAGGCTTCCAGATGCTGAGTCAAACTGCAAACCAGTCCTCTGAGATACCACCCTGCTCCCTCCTCAGGGAGCCTTCCCAGCTCCCAAGCCTCCGAAAACAGACCGAGCTCAACACAAAACCGCCTCCTCCGCATCAATGCGTCCGCGGGAACAAGAGCCACGGTCACTCCGCCACGCGCGTACCTTGGCACTGGGTATCCTTCATGGTCGGCTCATATCCGGCAGCACATGTACACGCTCCCACGGGTACCATCCACTCGCCGTCGCCGTTGCAGTACAGCTTCAGGGGTACAGACACCTCCACTGCATTGGGGATGCAGGTGCCTGGCGCGATGACCAGAGAGGTGGGCTCTGCCCCCGTCAAAGTCTCCGGGAAGACAGCAAAGCCAGCAATGGTGTTGGAGCATTTCTTGTAGAAAGCCCGGACGGAGATGAGGGACATGCAGGCTCCCAGGTCTTGGAAGGCCAGGTAAAAGCCATTCTTGGAGAGAGGGCCAAAGCTGCGCACCTTGGTGTTGACGCGGCCAGACTCCAGCTTGGAGAAGCTCTCGTCTGGGGCAATTGTATCCACTTTGATATAGGGGTTCTCCATCCAGAAAGGGCTGTTTGCAGAGGCAGAATCCGTATCCGACTCGTAATAGAAGAGGTTGAAGGTCTCTTTGCAGGAGCCGGGGATGTTGGGGATGCTGTTGCAGTCCCGCACGGTGAACTTCAGCTCCACGTAGACGCGCTGGACGTCCTGGCGCTGGATGAACTTGGTGCGAAGCCAGTTGTTCTGGTTGGCCTCCCGCACGTTGCACACCTGGTACGTGCGGATGGGGTTCATGGCCTCGTCGTAACCACTGACTTCTTCCCACTGTGAGCAAGAGGGGAGCAGGTTAGACCCCCAGCCGGGGAGATCAGTGCCACGGACACATCGCGAGCGGCATGGGGTAGGGGGGACCAGGCAACAGTCAACAGGGAAGAGAAGCAGCTGCACCTCCACGTGTCCCAACCCTCCTGGTCATCAAGATGACTAAGAGCAACCTGGGCCAGGGACCACAGCGCTCCCGCTCCACCGGCGTGGAGTCAGGAGATGGTTTCATGAGGCAAGAAGATAAACACGGGAGGGAAAGGGAAAGATGCAGCCAGCTCCATGAAGGCACTGGTGAGCAGCCCCGATTCCCATGGGGCCGGGGCCAGCTGTGCCCTTTCGAGGTTGGGACCAGGGCTGGCTCCAGACTTACCCCCGTCTCCGGATGAGTTGTCCATGCCAACTCAGAGGTCACCCACTTCGTGTCCATCAGGGTCTCTGGAGGGAGAGGGAGGAGAGAAAGAAGTAATTGGAGACGAAGGCCAAGATTAGAGGGAAAAAAAAAACAGGAGGAGTGGGGGAGAGGAGAGCCGAGGCTGACATTTCTGCGGAAAACAGCAACTTGGGGGGTGAGACATGGTGGGAGGAGGGGGGAGCGGCGCAGACAGACTCCAGATTTCTCTTCTCCTGTCAGGAGAACAGGAAGAGCGAGGCATCCCTGGAGAGCTGCGCTGGAGCAGGGAAGCGGCAGGACGAGGAGCCGGCCAGGTGGCGAGGGGGGGACGGGGACGGGCTGCCACCCCCAGCCACCGGCGCGGCCAGCCGTGCCTCCCGGCCAGCGCGGGGGGGTGCCAGAGGAGGGAGACCGGGCGGCCCCGTC